TTAATGAGTGCCGAAAATTGACACTTCAGTTTGACGAAAAGTGTAAAAATGGTGTTGAAAACGTGTGCATACGGATATTTTTATATTTTTCAATTTTACTTTTTAAAAAGTGAAAGTCACTGTTTCACATAAATAATTTGAAATTACAGATCTTTATTGACTTAACAGAACCAATATTGTTGATCCAGGTATCCATGCAATTGAAAAGGGGACTATTACATTTCAAAGATTCCTTAAGGGTGCCATAAACAGGGGGTTTTGCCCTATCACCAATATAAAAATTTCTTTTTACTTACTGGAAAGTCTGTATATATAGAAAAATACTTTTAAAATAGTTCTGTCACGATTTATAGATTAGCTAACTTGGATTATTATCATTATATTTCAGAAATAACATCATTAATTTATTTATTTATTTCTTAATTATCTGGAAAAATAATCTATTTTCACGGTCTATTATTTAATTTTTTTTTGTATGGAAGATATACCAATGAAATATTTTATGAAAAATATTGTTTTGATAAAAAGATTGTCTGAGAAAGATAGCAAGCATCTATACGGGTTTATATTACACGCAGTGCACTGTAAAGTGGTATACATTTTTTGTTTTATTCCTGATATTTACAACTTTGTTATAATAACAATTTATCTAGTAAATGTGTACAAATGAATATAATGGCTTGTTGAGAAACTACTTACTGGTAGCCCACTAAAAATATGTCTACATTAAGAGATCACGGGGCCAGCTTCTTCTCAGAGACTTCGGAAGATTATAAGGAATCGAAGAAGAAGCAAGGCTAGGACGAGTGTTAGGATGTTTCAGAAGTATATTATGGTATTTATTATGGTATATTATTGATAGGTATTTGAATTGTGCCAAATCGAGAATATAACCAACATTAAAGTCGTTATGAATGATTTTTTTTTTTAATAGTAAAGAAAGCATGAGGATATTATGAAGCATTTTAAATTAAAAGGATTGGATAGGAATATCTGAAGTAAGGTTTCTTTCCAGCGATATATAACGCATGTATGTTACTAATATCATTATGGAGGTATTTAAGAACAATTTTATTTTTGAACTGCACATCTTGATTTTCTTATGATTATCTTCAACATTGTTAATAATTGTTATTTTTTTATTTATTTTACTATTGATATCTATTTTGTTTATGCTTACTATATGAATCAGCATTTTTCGCTATAATACATGTAACACTACAATGATGTATTTCACAACTCAATTCACAATCATCCAATATATTACAGCAATCATTTTTTTACTTCCAGTCAAATGGTCGAGATAGAACCAGATAGGAGAAAAAGTAGGCAGAAGATCTAATTCACCAATGATAGATTATATTGTTATAAATATTTT